AATGTATCATGATCTTCGTCAGCTATACTGGTGGAACGACATGAAGAAAGATATAGCCACATTGGTGGCTCAGTGTCCCAACTGCCAGCAGGTTAAAACTGAACACCAGAAACTTGGAGGGCTACTTCAAAATATTGAGATTCCAGCTTGGAAATGGGAATCGATTAATATGGATTTCATTACAGGATTGCCCAATTCTCGTCGTAAGTTCAATTCTATTTGGGTCATTATGGATAGGCTACGAAATCAGCTCACTTTCTCCCGGTTAGGACCACCTATTCAGCTGAAGACTATGCGAGCCTGTATATCAAGGAAATATTTCGGCTACATGGAGTTCCGTTTTCTATTATATCTGACAGAGGTGCCCAATTTACAGCTAATTTCTGGAGGTCTTTTCAAGAAGGTTTGGGTACTCTTGTTAACCTTAGTACAGCATTTCATCCGCAGACCGACGGACAAGCCGAACGCACTATTCAGACACTCGAAGATATGTTGCGAGCTTGTGTCTTAGACTTCAAGGGAAGTTGGGAAGATCATTTACCGCTTATTGAGTTTGCCTACAATAACAGTTATCATGCCGGTATTCAGATGGCACCTTATGAGGCACTATATGGGAGGAAATGCAGATCTCCTATTGGCTGGTTCGATGTTGGCGAGACAAAGTTGCTAGGACCTGAATTGGTACAGCAAGCTGTAGAAAAGGTAAAGTTGATCCAGGAAAGGTTGCGTACAGCTCAAAGTCGACAGAAATCATATTCAGATAACCGACGTCGAGACTTGGAATTTGCTGTGGGAGACTGGGTATTCTTGAAAGTGTCGCCTATGAAGGGTGTAATGAGATTTGGTAAGAAAGGAAAACTCAGCCCTAGATATGTTGGGCCATATTAGATTGTTCATAGAATTGGGCGAGTAGCCTACAAACTTGACGTGCCACCAGAATTAGAAGCAATCCATCCGGTATTTCACATTTCCATGCTTCGGAAATTCTTAGGTGATCCTTCTTGCATCAGCCCTATCGAGGATATTGAAGTTTCCGAGAACTTGTCATATGAAGAAATTCCTGTTGCCATTCTTGACCGTCAAATCCGTAAGCTACGGACTAAAGAGGTAGCCTCAGTAAAAGTACTTTGGAGGAGCAATAATGTAGAGGAAATGACATGGGAGGCCGAGGAGGACATGAAGTCCAGATACCCTCATTTATTTGAGTCTTCAGGTGATATGCTTGAGACAAATATGGCAGGTGTTGCACAGATATCAACCAGTGACAACTGAGGTAATTAAGTTACGGCTAACCTTCTTATTATCATTATTGTATAAGTAAATGGTGGTGTGAGGCCAAGTTGATGTTATTATGATGGTGTGTAGCCCTATGTGACCTTAAATATGTATGTTTGGGCTGATGACAGGTTTTGGATAGTCCTATTTATAGGGGAAACTCTGGCAAAATTTTTTTTCTAAAAAAAATTCAGAAGTTAGGTTAACCGTTAACATTCGAGGACGAATGTTCTTAAGGAGGTGAGAATGTTACACCTTGTGTATTCGGTGTTATCATGTTGTAAATGGGCTAATTCGATAGGAAGATAATTTCTATGAGATATTTAAATGATGTGATAGTTATACGTTAAGATTGGAAGTCATTTGAGTTGTGATTAAAATTCGACAAAGATCGCCGCAAGTTACGGGTTTAAATTTCACTGGAATTTGGATAAACGTTTAATGAGCTTTTATCTCAATATACTAGGAGTTATGGTGTGTTCTACCTACCAAATCGAAGGTCTATGAGTCTAGTTTCCAATGAAACAAACCGTTTGTTAATACGACTTCGGAGTAGAGAGATATTAATATTTTCGTACAGGGGTGCACACTGTTACGGGAACAGTGTGCCTAGTCGGGTTTAGTCAAAATTTCTTTATTTAAGTCAATTTTTAAAACAGAACCCCTGCGTTTTATCCTCTCCAAAACAGAACCTAACACCTAGGGATTTCTTCTCAAACTCCTCCCATCCATCTAGCCAATGATAACAACAATTTAGTCATCTTCAAGATGGAGAACACCATGGTAACTTCGGAATCGTGAATTCTTCGGTGTTTCACTTTTCATAGCAAGACTCCGCCTTGAAGTAATTTTGAATTTTGAGTAATTCTGGTCACATAAGGTATGATTTAACTTCCTCTTTGATCTTTGTAAACTTCTACCATAAGAATTCCTAAGAAATGGTTGAAACCTCTATAGAAATGTTCTTGATTATTTTAAGAAACCTCTCTTAATATGGCTTGATTGTTGGGGTTGTTCTATATGGTTTTATTGTGTTGTTTGGATCTGTGAAGACATGGATGGAATTCTGTCGACGAGGAGATGTAGTAAAGTAAAATTTGGTGGTGTGTTGGGGGGAAATTAATCTACAAAAGAGTCTACAAATTCATGGCCACAAGTTGTTCGCGTAAATGTCTAAATGAAGAATTATATAAGCTATGAGCTTGATTTTGATTTTGAATGGTTCGTATTATGTAGGAAATCATTCCTAAGGCTTTCGAGGTCTCGGAAACAGTATATAACTCCATCGACAAGGTATATAGGGCTTTCACTATTCTTTTCGGCATGACTAGAATTCGAATAAACGTTTATCGAATTGTCTCATCGGATTCGAGTTATTTTACCTTCAACTGATAAATATGCTTAGACCTGATCCTTTCTCATAGATTGCTTACTCTAGAGGATATCTATGAATTCTCAGATTTCCTTGTTCCTTGCTTAAAAAGAACTAGAGCCTTTTTACTCGTTCTCCTTTCGACGTTCATACAAATAATGAATAAGTAACACTTACTTCAAAGGTATTCATAATGAATAACTCCCATGTTCTTAGTACTTGTTGGCTCGTAGTAAAAAAAAATTAAATATTTTATCAACAACCATGATAGTCAAGGAATAATGATGGTAGGCCACTTTGACTCTTCTTAGAATACGTCTTTTAAGGTTGGTTTCGTATTGCACCTATATAATTCATGATTTAGTATATGTATGTATTTACTTTCATTACCGAGCCGCACTATAGATGGTTGGGTATGACACATATTGTGTAACTACTGATCAGTTGGGATTACCGAGCTTCACGTGGTCGGGTACGATTCTACCGAGCCTTTATTATGGCCGGGTATGTTATGGATATTATAGCCCCACGGAGGGATTTGTTATTATATAATGTGATATATTATAAGTAGCAATAGTGAACGACGATTTCACGAGCATACATTTATATCCATGTTGAATTTTAGTTTCCTATCGAGGATAGTTTCAGAATTCAAATTGTCTCTANTATATATATATATCGTGTTGGGCTCTTCTGCCTGCAGGTTATTATATTTCAGATCATATCTCATGGTTGGTTCGCTCGAGCCTTCGGGCATCGGGCGCCAACCACACCTCCCAAGGTTGGGGTGTGACATTATGCTTCGTTATGCGTGTTTTATATGATCGAGTTGGAGTGGATTTGGTAAGAAATGAGACACTTAGTCTCTTTTGAGAAGGTTCAAGTTGGAAAAGTCAACCAGATGTTGACTTGTGTGTTAGAGGGCTCGGATGAGAGTTCTGATGGTTCAGTTAGCTTCGGGAGGTGATTTATGGCTTAAGAGTGTGATCGGGATTGCTTTTGAAGGTCCGGTGTAGAATTAGGCTTGAATTGGCGAAGTTAGTATTTTGGCGATTTCTGGTTGTTAGGCGAGATTTCGATCCGAGGGTCGGAATGGAAATCCGAGAGTTGCTGTAGCTTTGTTATGTCATTTTTGATGTGTATGCAAAATTTCATGTCATTCGGACGTGGTTGGTTGGGTTTTTGATCGAAAGCGTATTTCGGAAGTTTTTAGAAAACTTAGGCTTTAATCCGATGAATTTTGGGTAATTTGATGTTGTTTGAGGTGTTTTGATGATTGGAGCAAGTTTGAATGAGTTTTTAGGATGTGTTGGTGTTTTTGGTTGAGGTCCGAGGGCCTCGGGTGAGTTTCGGATGGTCAATCGGACCATTTTTGGCTTTGAGAAGTTGCAGAATTGGCTGATCAGATGTTGCAGGTTTTAAGCCTTCGCGATCGCGTAGGGCCCATCGCAATCGCGTAGAAGAATTTTGGGTTGGCTTGAGTTTAGCCTTGGCATTCGCGTTTGAGGTCTCGCATTCGCGGAGGGCTTTGATCTTGTGCTTCGCGTTCGCATGTAGTGTTTCGCGTTCGCGTATAAGTATTTGGGGGTCCAGTGGTTTTGTTCTTCGCATTCGCATTAGTTGGGTCGCGTTCGCACAGGTCTAGGAAAGCAAGCATCGCGTTAGCAGTGAAGCCATCACATTCTCATATTGTATTTTTGGAGTCATGGAATTTTGCTCTTTGCGATCGCGAGGCTTGGGCCGCGATCGCGATGAAGGAATACCAGAACTGGGCAATAAGTTTATAAAATATTTCATCCGCGATTTTGAGCCATTTTTCCACCATAGTTGATCATTTTGAGAGGTCTTTGAGGGAGATTGAAGAGGGATTCAAGGAGAAGTTATTGGAGGTAAAATTTATGAACCTAAAACGTGATTCTATTGTGAAATTAACCTAGAAATTCATGGAACCTGAGCTAAAAATGGAAGAACTAGGGCTTGGGATTTTGAACTTTTAAATTGGGATTTGAAGGACTATTTGAAGTCGGATTTGAGAACTTTTGATATGTATGAAATCGTGGGAGGATAAGGAACCCGTTGGTGTAAAAATTTCTGAGTTTCGAGAAGTGGACCCGAGGCTCGGGTTTTGCTAATTTCGGGATTTTTGATATTTTTCGATTGTTTTCGCTTGGGCTTTGTTCCCTTAGCATATTGTGATGTATTCGTTCTGATTTTGGATAGATTCAACGCGCGTGGAGGTTGATTCGAGGGGCAAAGGCGTCGCAAGCTAGAGTTGTAGCCGGTTCGAGGTGAGTAATGGTTGTAAATGATGTTCTGAGGGTTTGAAACCCCGGATTGCACATCGTAGTGCTATATTGAGGTGATACACACGCTGGATGATGAGCGTGGGGTCTTTTACTACTGGGGATTGAGACTTGGTTCGTCCCGACTGATGATTTTACCGCGTATTTGACTGAACTTATTTGTTATCATCTTGATTTGGGCTAATTGCCATATGTGGGCTTCGTGCAAACTATTTGAACCCTTCGGGGATTCTGACTGATTTTCCTCACTATACTTGTTAAAAATCATATCCTCAGTCATGTTTCTATCTGTTTTAAACGATTCGAGCTGATTTTATCATACTATTCCTAAATGAGAGGAATTTGTGGGCTGAGATCCCTATCTTCTATTATTGTGCCCGAGAGGCTGTGAGGTTAATGACTGAGAGGGGTTGAGAACCCAATGGTGAGGATATTATAAATGTTATGGATCGGGTTGCATGCCGCAACAATACTTATATGGATCGGGCTGCACGCCACAACAATATAACGCTTGGGCTGTAGGAGCCCCTCCAGAGTCTGCACACCCCCAGTAAGCGCAGTCGACTATCTATATAGATAGGGTTGCACGCCGCAGCGATGTATGGATCGGGATGTACGCCGTAGTGGTTATTCTGATTTCTGTTATTATGAGAGATATATGGGTCGAGAGCTGAGAATGAGCACTAAGTGATGAGAGTGAGCCCGAGGAGCTGATACTATTCTGAGTGATTGATACTGTGCCCGAGGGGCGGATTTCTATTTGTTATTTACCTGCTAAATTTCCTGATTTAAAGAGATTTCACTTGACTTCTTCACTGATTTACTGCTTTACGTGATTTTTACTGCTTTGATATAGAATTGCTTTGTGCCTTTACGTGTTTTTATGGTTTCAACCATTATTTATAATTATTACTCACTGGGTCGGAGTACTCACATTACTCCCTACACCGCGTGTGCAAATTCAGGCATCACAGAGTCCGCTCCTGAGTGCTAATCTTCCCGTCCAGGCAGTGTTTCGGAGATCATGAGGTAGCTGTTAGCGTCCGCAAACCCCGTGCCTCCCTTATCTTATCATTTTCATGTTCTTAGAACTATTGTATCGGGTTTAGTGATTAGTAGACTGTATCAGGATTTCTCTTAGTTGCTCATGACTTGTGACACCTCGGTTTGGGCTGTGTCGGGATGGATTTTACTATTGTTATCATTAATTCCGCAAATTACGGATATTATATCATGCTTTAGAATTGTTTATGATATTTAACTGTTTAAAAGAGGTGTTCTGTTTTGGTATGGCTGGCCTTGTCTTTACGAGAGGCGTCATC